TCTCGAAGAGACAAATATTATATCTAAACGTTAGAAGTAATTATTTAGGTATCACATTTATTCAACTCAAGAGGAAATAGGGTAATATGTGACTGCGTAAAATATTTGATTTTGTTATGTATATAGATGAACAGAATGTTATAGGGAACATGTAAGATCCTTTGCTTTCTGCATCTTTTTACATCACATCACGATGTCGATAGCGTGTATGGTTCAAAATGGCCATACCTTGGAATTGAATATCGAACGAATTGCGGTGAGAGCACTTCATACGTATATACTCGTATATATCGTCATATATTTAAATTACACAACACACAAGTTACAGAAGTTTATGGACATTATGAACAATAGTGTAGGAAGTCGTGTAGGAAGAATGCGTGAAAATTTCGTCGCAACTCCATTCAATTTTCTATTTTCCGTAAATGAGGTATATCTGTGTTAAGATTAATATCGGTGTAGCAAGCGCACTAGCCAGATTCGATCGTGCGTCGAAGAAAGATGCCTAGCAGAATCTGGTGCACGAAACGAAAGGTTTAACGCTTCGTTCGGAATCCAAAGGGCAAACAGAATGAACGCACATCGATTTCAAACCATCTCGGGGTCTGCTCGGATTCGATCGAATGCCGGAAACAAAAGCGGTTTCCGGAGAGAGCAACGTTATAATTGATTTAAGTTCGACCGGTTCCGAACAAAGGGATAAACCGAATCTATAGGTTCGCGGCTTTCCACGGAACGCATAAAACGGTGCACTAAGTCGTAGCACAGACTATTGAACCGATAAATAATCTACTTTTCTCTAACGTAACAAAATATTTCTAACGCTCCGTCGATTAAAACGCGTGGCACAGAGAACGCGTGATCCACGCATGCAATTTTTGGCCTGTTGCGCTCGAGATGAATTACCCATCGAGCTTTATACTTACGACACGAATCGCTCCGAAATGCAAAAACAAAAAAGGAAAGAACAAAAAGCACGCGATCGCAGACGACAAATAGATAGACAGATAAATAGGTGGGTAGATAGATAGATAGATAGATAGATAGATAGATAGATAGATAGATAGATAGATAGATAGATTAATAGATAGGTAAATAGATAGGTAAATAAATAGATAGGTACTTAGGTAGATACATAGACCAGTAAACGGAGAAAAAGAGTGAGAGAGAGAGAGGGGAGAGAGGAAGAGGGAGTAAGAGAGAGGGATGGAGAAAGAGAAAGGAGAGATTAGAAACGGTAATAAATCGTGTTGCGATAATTGGAAAATTAAATTAGGATTTTCAAAAGAATATTAGAATTTTGCTTTTTTTCAAGTCAAGGCGAAAAATTGATTCGCAGCTTTCTTCTATATCGCTGTTTACGAGACGCGCTACTCTTTAAAAGATCCAACTAGGATAATAGGTAAAATTTTAAAGTCGAATATTATACAGGTAATATTACACTAACTACATACTCACTGGATATGTTTCGATTTTTTTTACACGTATACACACGTACACACATACGCACGCAAGTACATAGCTCTCTCATCGACGCGTCAGTGTGTCGATGACGATACGCGGCTATACGAATTTGTACATAAGGCTCGACGTTGTATTATTCCCCGTTTGATTCTTCTTCCCGTATAAGATCGCGCAGAGGAGAAAGACGAATACAATGAACCGCGAATGATGAACCGTAAACGCGGACCAGACAAAATGAAACGAGTAACCCTCGGTTGCGCGGAACGATCCTTGAACGAGTTAGCTGGCCCGAAAATCATAACGCAACCGGAAGAAGTAACGAATCGATTTGATCGTGTAAATAAAGATTCGCCGTTGCTCGCATCACCGCCGAAGCGAATTGCTCGTCGAACGATTCGCGTGCTGGCCTCGCGACACGCGACGGTAATCGTAAACCGTACCTCGCACACACGTCAGTCCGCTATCTCGAAGTCATTCTTTTCGCGCATCTTTTCGACACGGTCCCGTTCTCGCGCGTCGACGGACCTTCCCGCTGATAATCACGGGAAAGATTCGCGCGATCGTCTAAGTGAAAACGAACGGACGGTCTTCCCGCGATGCAAGCAGGGACCGGTATCGAATGTGAATTCCACATTACCGAAACACTCGGAGATTTAATTTGATACACGCGATCGTTAAAAACGCGGCGAAAGCGTAGACGTTCGGACACTCGCGTTCGCAAAATTATGTAAGAAAGATCAAGTGGCTCGCGAAAGCGCGATCAATCGCGTAAAGTGGCAGACTGCAACGCGACAATTCGGCAACATATCCGGGAATACCGTGCGGAACTTTCGATCGTCGTATTCAGACCGAATAAATATGTCGACGACTTTACTCGTCGTTCCCGTTCCGTGGTTAATTTCGTCCCTCGGCGGAGAATCGTTTTCGGTTTCGATGCACCCGTCTGTCGTGTATCGAATCGTCGCGCGAAGGGAGAATTTTCACATGAAATTCCACGCGACTCGAGGCCAATTCGAATAAGCAGTATTCCAAGTTAAACCGCGAAACTGTTCGGAACCCTACCGCGACTGTTAGCGTTCCGACTTTCACGTGCTCTGCCATAAATACCTGTCCGTTGGATGTACATACACGCGTGCGAGTTGGTTTTATTACTGAACTCGTTACCAGAATCGTGCGGACTTTACGTTGAATTTGTTCAGCGAACTATAAAGTCTAGAGATTCGATAAGTTCACCGCGTGGGTCGAATCACCTTGCGTCTCGGTGCGCTTTATTCGGCAAGAACCGCGGAGCCGATAGAGTCGAGACTCGGAGGGACATTAGTGGTCCAGCCACTACGATCGTAACTATCCACGCGACTCGTTGCATCGGACGGACGATCGCTCGTCCGCAACCGCGGATCACCGCGAGACCGATTAGAAGATCATGGATGGCTTAACGGGCGTTGTCGGACATCGGCGCGAGCAACGAATCGAGAGGCCGCCGATAATAATCGTCGACGATCTTCCGCGTCGTTCAAGTATCAACGAGCGAATCGTGCGCCGCCGAAAGCGAACCTCCGCCGAAACGATCGGCGACCTGTTACCAACAAGATCGCCGCGACGCGAAACGAATCGGAAAACGAGCCGAAACGTCGGGAAGCGAACGGGACCGTTTACGACCCGAACGGTAAACGCGTTACACGCGAAGACGCCGAGCCTCGATCTCCTGTTCGCCGAAACTTCCAAGGAATGGAAAATCCTTGGCACGGCCGCTCGAAGCCGGAGAGTTCGACGAGTGGTTGGCCGGTCACTTGGCGTGCTGCTTCGGAAGATGTCGCTTCATATGGAGGGCGAGGTGGTCGCTCCTGGCGAACGATCGCTCGCACACGGCGCACTTGAAAGGTTTCGCGCCGGTGTGCTTTCGATAGTGACGAGTTAATTCGTCGCTCCTGGCGAATCGCCATTCGCATTCCGGCCACTGACACTGGTACGGTTTCTCGCCTGGAATAAAAACGGGAACAATGTACATACAGATGCTTCGTTACTTTCACTAGGCGTAGTCCTAGGAATCTTTCGCATTCGTATTTGGAGCGCGTGGAACGCTACGACCGAATCGCCGCGACGCAACTGCGCATCATCCCTCCTTTCGCGGTCGCTAACGTCGACGTCGTCGGCGTTCCTCGCGCGACGAATCAACGAACGGGCACCTTTAAGGAACGACGAGCAGTTTCTCGCGCCGTTCGTCCCGGCTTTTAACGATTCGCCGGTGTCAAGACCGCAACGGGGTTGACATTTTCGAATTTCCGCGGGAAGAAAGTTGGCCGATCTCGAGGTAGCTGCGCGTTCGGTCGTTCTCAGCGAAGCGGAGCGAGATTACAAGTGGAGGGCAGGGGCGGCATCGGTGCTGTTAGAACGCGAGCGAGAACGCGAACGCGAACGGATTGCGCTGGAATACAGGTGAGCGTGTTGCGGCATGCGGGTACAGTTAAAGGTCAGCGCGGCATCTCTCGTAGCCTAAGGTTCTCGGTAAACCTATCGGTCGAGCAAAGAGCAGCGCTTTGTTCTTTAATAGGTCTCTTTCCTTGGCCCAACTACCGACGAATCGTAGCGGCACGATACGGCACGATACTGCACGGTACACGGCATACCGCCTCGCCTCCCCACCGCGCTTTCACCCTCGAAACGCTCAACGATTCTCCGCGCTCGTGTCGAGCCGTCGCAACCCTCGCCTCGAAACGAAACCGAAATACCGATCTACATGTTCGATCTCTTTCGTCGCGCGTGTATTCGGTAACGAAACTTCGTGTCGGTCCTCGTGCGGGAAAAGGAATCGCTGAAGTCTCGCGGAGACGTCGCGCGATATTCAACTGCGGAAACAGCGCGAAGATACGAGGAGAAACGCGACGGAGCTCCGAGACGCATCGGAACTCGAGTAAATGAACGGAAATTCTCCGAGAGTGGTACAAAGGTGTGCGTATACATCGGGAAGCGGTAAGAGAAGACTCGATAGCTGAGAAATACACCCACGCGTGCCGCTGACTCGTTGTTCTCCTCTACGAAACGGCTCTCCGTCTCCTTTTTCTCTCTCTCTCTCTTTCTCTCTCTCTCTATCTTTCCCCCTGTTCGTTCGTATGGAGACGACCCTAACCGGTCTTAGTCGAACGCGCAACTCCCATACAATCGGTATTACCACCGCGAGCGGTATCCATTCACGGTATTGCTCGTTCATGAGAATTCCGCGAGAATTTCTTCGAGGCGACAAGGAAAAGGACACGCTTGGATCTTGCTTCTCTCGACAGCCAGGCTTCCCTCTCCGCGTCCGCGGTTTTCCGCGTTTCCGCGTGAACGCGAGAGCGCGCGCGAACGTCGAAAGAAAATTCGACTCGCCGGAAAAGGCACGGGGGAACGCGAAAAACGATGACAGCCGCGATTGCGTTTATAAATAGAAAACCTATGTCGTCCCGTCCGCGTTCGTCATCTAATTGCCACCTATTAAGTCATTCGATCGAGGATTCCTGGATCGCCGCTGCGGAATCAAGTTGTCCGCGCGTATACGACGGCAGACGCGACTCGTCGCGATCTTGCTCTTTTTCTGTCGCGGCCGAGTTTTTCCCAATCGGTAATCGATGACAGGAGACGAGATGGCACGAAACGAGACGAGACGAGGAGCGTTTAACCTCGGAACTAGAGAAATCTCTGTAAACGTCTCGGCCTTCTCACGATCGAACACGCGACCGAACGTACCCATCATTCCATTCGTCACGGTGTAACTAGTTGCCCGCCGCGATTAAAGCAACACGGCTGTGTGTATGCAAATGAAAAGGAAAAACGGAACAGCGACCCTGTAAATTTCCATTGGCGCGATCTCGAGCGCGGTCCGTTCTAGACGAAAGGCAAGACGGGAAAGAAGGTAACGCTTGTTTCGGGCGTAAAGAAATTTCAATAGTATTTGGAAAGTGCGTCGCGTCTATATACACGACGGACTGTCATGGCGCAGAGCGGCGCGTAGCTTCGTATCTCGTCGCAGTTGCGGTCGACTCTCGATCAAATAGACGGAATCGGCGAGGCCGCGCGTTTCTCCGATCGGGACGAGTTTTTACGAGGTTGATAACGTTCCAGGTGGCATATCGCTGAATCGCGTGCGCTCCTTGGCTCGACGACGCCTACGAGCCACAACGCGTCCCCGTTAATTTCGGATCACTTTCACCGCGGTCTCGGCGAGCGCGGAGCAGCCGGTACGCGACCGGTATCCTGCGCGCAGCCATCGGTCCACAACTTGCTTTTCAAATACGCGTATGTCCTAGCCCTACTTTAACTCGCAGTTGTTCCTCGCTTGACGTCGCCAGCATTCATCGTCGCCGAATAATCCCCGTGCCGACGAGAACTCATCCGTCGTGCGAGTACTTTGGAAACGGCGCAAGCTCTGTCCTATCGCAGCAAGTCTCTCTCTCGACATTCTTATCAGCCGCTCGAGCATCGAGTCAACACTCGAGTCCACTTATTACTTAACGACCATCGAGGTATGTGTAACGGTAGACGAGCGCCGTTAAGATTTTCCGCGAATCGCGCGAGGTAACGATATGAAACAGGGAAAAGCAGATTTCCGGGAATCCTATCGGTACGATTAATCCGAGAACTAAAATCTAATCGGTATGGCCGAGGTTCCTCATCCCCGAATCTCGGCGGTTCTCGGACGCCGTTCCCATCGCGTCCTCGTAGAAGAACCATGGAAAAGCATAGGGAAGCACGGAGAATTGTACAGCGAAGCAAATCAGAAAAGACGCGCGAATCAGCATAGTTGAAAGTGGGCAACGCGTTACCCAGCAGTGGATACGCTAGAAATCTGCCTAAGTTGGAAGCGTGGATGAAGCAGGAATGCAGCTCGCCTCGCGTCCGCTCGAACCCGCGTGCGCACACCGCGAAACTTCTCCCCGTTTACGCGGCAATCGTTCAACTGTGTCGCGCGTACAGATACAGCGTCGCGTGCTGCTCGGTTGCTGGCCGGTTGCTACTCGATTGCTCCTCGGTTGCTCCCACGATGCGGAAAAGATGCTGACCTCCCGCGAATGCACGCTTCGGCACGCGTCTATATTCGTCCGTGCACCGGCGGCGTTCGAGGATCGCGATTCTAGCACACTTTTCCCGCAAACTTACCGACCGTAACACGCAACCCGTCGAACGAGGAATTCCTCGGTCAAAAGTCAACCCCACCACCGAGAAGTTGGCAACGAGGACTCCGCGAATCCCGCGTCCCTCCGCGACCGTAATATCGTCGCGCGTCGCGATCCGCGGGTCACGAATTCCAAAGGTGTACCGCGAACGCTAACCGATAACTCGTCTGAAATCGACAACGAGGGACGCGCTCCGAAAGTTTCGAAGCTCCGGCCGCGAGGCGCGACGCTTGTCGTTAACGTTTTCGATTTTCAAAGGTTCTCGCGCGGCTGTAACCGACCGCATAGGAATTCCTATTCCCCGGATTTCATGCTTATCCGCTCGAACGATCCGAGCGACGCGTTTTATATTTTACCGGTTAATCTCGATAACGTTCGTTTCGACCGGGCAAAAAACAAACGACGCTCCCCAAGGTTGTCTCGCGCGAAACCCTGGAGACGGTCGACGGGCACGAAATTTTCCTATTAAGATACACGCAACGCGTACGCGTTACACACGGTATAACGCGCCTCGCCGTATTAGCGGAATACTAAGCGCGCTGTAATGCCTTCGCGTCGATCGAGAATCGATCGGCGACTCTTCACGATCGGGAGATCCTCCAACGATCCTTGAACAATCCTCGAATATAGACGTTCCACCTCGGACGCTAATATAAGTTACGAGCGATCGACCGATACCTACGACTCTTTTATTTATCCTCGAGTCGCGTTGTATCGTTGCGCCGTTGCGTCGCTGTATCAGACCGGATCGGATCGGATCGAATCGGATCGGATCGGATCGGATCGGATCGGGTCGGATCGGGTCGAATCGGGTCGGATCA